GCGCAGATAGCCCTCGTGTAGCTTTGCGCAAAATTAAAACCAAACAATCCGAAAGCGTTCGACTTATCGAGTCTCTCCAAGTCTCTACAAGTGTAATATTATAGACCTCCCATGATCCCCGTACAACTGGAATATCAGAGTTCTCTCTTGATCCCCATACAAATGTAATATCGGAGTTCTCTCTTGATCCCCATACAAGTGTAATATCAGAGTTCTCTCTTGATCCCCATACAAGTGTGATATCAGACTCCTCTCTTGATCCCCATACAAGTGTAATATCAAAGTGTTCTCTTGATCCCCATACAAGTGTAATATCAGAGTTCTCTGTTGATCCCCATACAAGTGTAATATCAGAGTGCTCTGTTGATCCCCATACAAGTGTAACATCAGAGTGCTCTGTTGATCCCCAAACAAGTGTAATATCAGAGTTAAAAGAAACAAAAGGATCTTTTAGAAAGGAGCGAAACTTATAATTCAAAATAATCTGTTTGATATACAAATGGCTTGAATATATGAAATAAGTAGATCCGGGCTATGATATCATCAGGCCAACGCTTACATAGAAATCAAGTTCGGTACTCGAAAACGACGTTAATTTATCTACAACAGTTGAGAGTGATTTACAAGCTACATGAGAGAAAAATCTTTGAAGTCGTTATACAAAACGTTAGTGTTTACATTGCTAAACAATTCACAGGGTATCTAAGTGGTGTTCTAGGGCAGAGTGTTCATTGACTCTTTGAAGTCGTTATACAAAACATTAGTGTTTACATTGCTAAACAATTCACAGGGTATCTAAGTGGTGTTCTAGGGCAGAGTGTTCATTGACTCTCTTTGAAGTTCGCCTCTTACTTATAATTAAAACAATTCTTTGTTAATTGTAATTATTAGTGTAGACATTTTGGTAGAAGTTATTAGATAATTCCTATAGGCGGAAAACTAAAATCCTATTATTTAAATTACTTCTTAATAAACTAATTTAAATTGCCGTGGTTTGCTAATTCATAGTTTCTGTGCCCCCCCCCCCAATGGAACAGCGGTATGTCTGCGGACTTACAACGCTAGAAACCGGGTTTAAATACCCGTGATGGACCGAGCAAAGATAGCCCATTGTGTAGCTTTGTGCTTAACTTCAAACAAACAGTTTCTGTGGCCATGTTGATGTAATTTATTGTTTTCAAGAAGCTGATTTAATGTGTTCACTTTATACGCAAAATTTCAGTTTCGATTTATTAGTTAAATGATATATGGTGAGTCCTTAATCCATATTTGGTACTGGTAATAACGTGGAACAAATACTTTAAAAATATCAATATGGAGAGAGAGAGAGCAAGAAACCCAGCTATATATATATATATATATATTTGTTTATCAAAACTTTTCAAAAGTATATGAAATATCACTATAGGAAAAACGTGATTATTGGTAAATTAATTATTTTCAACAATGTTAAAATGCAGGATATGGCAAGTAAGTTATCGATATTACCGACGAAAAATGGACAAAGTAAGTAAAATCCAGATAAAAATCTAAATATTTCGATTAGGCTGGCATAAAAAAGAAAACAAGCTCCAGGATTGGAGAACTGGTGTTGTATAGGGCTGAACGTGCTACGATATAGATGATGATACCGTCCCCCCCCTCTCGTTTTATAATTAACATTTGTATGTTTTAATAAAACTTTATACATTTTACAATTATGTTATGTCCCTAAGTGCAGTTCTTTTATTGGTTGATAGATGGCGCTAAAACGCACCCATTGCAAAAAAAAAAAAAAGATAAATAAGTAAAATAAAATAATTATATTGAGACCGACTAGGATAGCTAGTTTCCAAACGCCGTTGCAGCGTGCTGGCTAAGGTACAGGTTTTTAGTACCGACTAACAAGAAGACAAGACCTGTTTGTCCTTCTAAAAACAGAAATATTGCTGACATTTACAGCCTTTCTGACCAAATAAAAGGTAAGATATCTTAAGAATTTTGAACTTTATTTCATAAATCGGATTTTGCAAAAGACGCGATTGTTATCAGTACGAAACGACAATACAAAGACATGAAAAGAACCCGAAAGATGTGAACTGAAAGTCCAATAATCTTGTCCCGAAATCTGAAATGTAATAAATGTCAGATAAATTATGAAACATTTTATTTTTGAGCTTTTCTTTTTTTTTGTAAATCGACATCTATTTGTATGGCTTTTATTTGAAGACTTTTAGTTGGTTACATTAATCATAGACATAAAAAATTAGTCGATAAATTGAGCCTTCTTCATCCAGTCCGCTACTAGATCAGCGATAAGCACGAGGGCTTATAGCGCTAAAATTCGAGGTTTGATCCACGCGGCTGACGTAACTCGGGTAGTATAATGTGTGGTTTTGCCCTAAAACAAACGAAATATTTCACCGGTGTCTGTAAAATCGTCGTTTCAACGAGACATTCTCTTATCTTCAGTGATACCAGTTTCCATATCGCTTGTAAAATTGTCAAGTTTTATACGCGTGCCTGATTTACTTCACGCTGACATTTATCTTAAGTGCTATCAGTAAGAACATTGCGCTGTACGATGAGGAAATGTGTTGCTACCCCTTAATGCAGTACAATAAAAGCTACCAACTTTTGTTTTTCGTTCTTAATCCTTTTACAACACACGTTGTCGTGCACAGTTTCCAAGTAAATGTCAAAAGAAGCCGTGTATCAAATAATTAGCGGCATTTTTCAGAGCAGTTGGTAACTAACTGGGAAATGATTCCTCATTCATGTTGTATCTGATAATCATTAACATCTTGATTCCTCACTCATGTTGTATCTAACAGTCATTAATCTCTTGATTCCTCACTCATGTTGTATCTAACAATCATTAACCTCTTGATTCCTTACTCATGTTGTATCTAACTGTCATTAACATCTTGATTCCTCACTCATGTTGTATCTAACAGTCATTAATCTCTTGATTCCTTACTCATGTTGTATCTGACAGTCATTAACATCTTGATTCCTCACTCATGTTGTATCTGACAATCGGTAACATCTTGATTCCTTAATCATGTTGTATCTGACAATCATTAACATCTTGATTCCTCACTCATGTTGTATCTGACAGTAATTAACATCTTGATTCCTCACTCATGTTGTATCTAACATTCGGTAACATCTTGATTCCTTAATCATGTTGTATCTGACAATCATTAACCTCTTGATTCCTCACTCATGTTGTATCTAACAGTAATTAACATCTTGATTCCTTACTCATGTTGTATCTAACAATCGGTAACATCTTGATTCCTTAATCATGTTGTATCTGACAATCATTAACATCTTGATTCCTCACTCATGTTGTATCTGACAATCGGTAACATCTTGATTCCTTACTCATGTTGTATCTAACAGTCATTAATCTCTTGATTCCTCACTCATGTTGTATCTAACAGTAATTAACATCTTGATTCCTCACTCATGTTGTATCTAACAATCATTAATCTCTTGATTCCTTACTCATGTTGTATCTAACAGTCATTAATCTCTTGATTTCTCACTCATGTTGTATCTAACAGTCATTAACATCTGGATTCCTCACTCATGTTGTGCCTAACAATCATTAACATCTTTATTCCTTACTCATGTTGTATCTAACAGTCATTAATCTCTTGATTCCTCACTCATGTTGTATCTAACAGTCATTAACATCTGGATTCCTCACTCATGTTGTGCCTAACAATCATTAACATCTTCATTCCTTACTCATGTTGTATCTAACAGTCATTAACCTCTTGATATCTTACTCATGTTGTATCTAACAGTCATTAAC